GAAAAAACAAAAAAATACAAAATCAGAACATTGAAAAATCGAAAAATTGTAAAAATAAAGAAAATGAAAAATTAACCAATATAAAATGGAAAAATTTAAAATTGAAAATTTGTGAAATTGCAATCGAAAAATTGTAAAATTAAAAAAACAAATAACTAAAACCAAAAATTGCAAATAGAACATTTGAAAAAATGAAAAATACAAAATTCGAAAAAATGAAAAATTAAAAACTGATAACTCCAGAAATTTTAACTGGAAAAATTGAAAAATCTTACATCGCAAAATTGAAGAGACAAAACGAAAAAACAAAATAAATAGAAAACTCGAGAAACTGAAATCGAAAAATTGCAAAATCTAAAAATTGAGAAATTAAAAAGTTGGAAAAGAAAAAGGCAAAATATAATCCCCGCCCACCCACCCTATTTTAATTCTGATGATTTTTTTTATTCCCTTAACTCTAAGACTGAGCTCTGATATTTTGAAGGGTGCGAGAATTCGTAACAGTTCCCTTCTGCTTCACAGACTCGAATTTACCTTTAAGTTTAAATTATAATATAGTTCTGTTTCCATATAAATCTCATCAACCTTCTTAGAATCATACGGCATTACTTACACACAGTTTTTTGTTTATTTTTGAAACGAAAAAATTATAAAAGTTCAAAAAAATAGAGTTAGCCCTGATATCCTGAAGGATGAAGATCATTCGCAGTAGTTCCCCTCTGCTTCACACAATTGCAAAAACCATATTTCCTTACAAAAATTTTTTACCACTTTAAACGTGTATTGAGTTTCAAAGAATAAAAAAAATCATCACAATTGAGATGGGGTGGGCGGGCGGAGTTTATATTTTGCCCTTTTTTCTTGATGTACATAATATTCTTTGAACAACACGATACCCAAAAAGATGTTTTTAATTTCTTGTAAGGAAATTTTGCAGTCAGCTCCGCCCTCCTGCTTCACGGCGAATAAAATAATCATCACAATTGAGATAGGGTGGGTGGGCGGGGCTTATATTTTGCCTTTTTCTTTTCTTAACATACATAGATATCCATCTGTTCACAACATGAAATTTAAAATACTTCCTTGCAAAAATGTACCATTTTAACCATATTTCACTTGTTGTAAAAAGACGGCTATGTATATTAAGAATAACAAGGCAAAATATAATCCCCGCCCACCCACCCTATCTTAATTCTGATGATTTTTTTATTCCCTTAAACTCCAAGAGTGAGCTCTGATATTTTGAAGGGTGCGGAAATTGGTAACAGTCGAATTTAGCTTTAAGTTTTGTAGCCCTAAATTATAATATAGTTCTATTTCCTTATAAATCTAGTTAACCTTCTTAGAATCAAACTGTTATCTGACCTTGCATCTTGTGTCGTAATAATCATTATTATAATTATGAATTATTTGGCATTTATAAGACAAATATTTCTCCTAGTAAAATTTTTTTGTTTGTTTTTTTGAGACGGAAATCTGAAAGTTTGGATTGTGATATTTTAAAGACTTACTATATATAACACAAAAATATATTTTGGCTTTTTTCCTAATATACATAGTAATCTTTGAACAACCCGATACTCAAAAACATGTTTTTAATTTCTTGTAAAGAAACAAGTATTTTGCAGTTAAGCTCCGCCCTCTTAGCTCACGGCGAATAAAAAAAAATCGTCACGAATGAGATCGGGTGGGTGGGCGGGCTTACTTTTTGGCTTTTTGTTTTTAGTATGTGCGTAGACTTCTTTTCACAACATGAAACTTAAAACATGTTTAAATTAGACTCCGCCCCATAATTGCAAAATCCATATTTCCTTGCAAAAATCTACCATTTTAACCATATTTCACTTGTTGTGAAAAGACGGCTATGTATATTAAGAACAAAAAGGCAAAATATAATCCCCGCCCACCCACCCTGTCTTAATTCTGATGATTTTTTATTATGCTCTTAAACTCTAAGTGGGCTCTGATATTTTGAAGGGTGCGAGAATTTGTAACAATTCCCCTCTGCTTCACACATTTGAATGTAGTTTTAAGTTTTTAAATTATAATATAGTTCTGTTTCCTTATGAATCTCATCAATCTTGTTACTTGAACTTGTATTTTGTCTCGTAATATCATTATTATAATTATGAAAAATCTAAGATTGAATGAAAAATTAAAAAAATTGAGATTAAAAAAGCAAAAGAAACAAAATATAAAAAAATCGAATAATCGAAAAAATGAAGAAAATGTTAAACCGAAACCAAAAATTGAAAAATGGAAAATTGAAAACTCGTGAAATTCCAAATCGAAAAACTGCGAAATCTAAAAATTAAAACGTGAAAACTTTGCGAAATGGAAAAACTCAAAAATTTAAAAATGACAACTCGAAAAATTTTTAATCGAAAAATTGCAAAATCTAAGCATTGAAGAAACAAAAAAATGAAAAACTGAATACCGCAAATCGATAAACGGAAGAAACGAAAAATTAAAAGAATTGAAACTTATAAAACAAAAAAATATAAAAACAGAACATTGAAAAGTCGAAAAATTGTAAAAATACAGAAAATGAAAAATTAACGAATATAAAAATAGAAAAAAAGAAAATCGTAACATGTAAAAATGGAATAATTGAAAAATTAAAAATTGAAAACTGGAGAAACTGAAATCGAAAAATTGCAAAATCTAAAAATTGAGAAAGTAAAATGTTGGAAAATCGAAAAACTGATAAATTTAAATTTAAAAACTCGAAAAATTGTAAAAAGTATATTTCAGAGAAAAAAAGTACCATTTTAACAATGTCTTAAATTTCTTGCTGTGAAAAGACGGTTATGTATATTAAGAAAAAAAGGCAAACTATAATCCCCGCCCACCCACCCTATCTTACCGTTGATGATTTTTTTTATTCTCTTAAACTCTAAGAGTGAGCTCTGATATTTTGAAGGGTGCGAGAATTTGTTACAGTTCCCCTCTGCTTCACATTTTCGAATTTAGATTTAAGTATTTTAGCCCTAAATTATAATATAGTTCTGTTTCCTTATGAATCTCATCAATCTTGTTATTTGACCTTGCATTTTGTCTCGTAATATTATTATAATTATGACAAATCTAAGATTGAAAAATTGAAAAAATGGATATTAGAAAAACAAAAAAAAGAAAACATGAAAAAATCGAATAATTGAAAAAATGAAGAAAATGTTAAACCCAAACCCAAAATTTAAAAATTAAGATTGAAAACTCGTGAAATTCCCAATCGAAAAACTGCATAATCTAAAAATTAAAACGTGAAAAATTTGGAAAATTGAGAAACTGAAGAATTTAAAAATGAAAACTCGAGAAATTTTTAATCGAAAAATTACAAAATATAAAGACTGAAGAAACAAACATATGAAAAAGTGAAAAATCGCACATCGATAAATGGAAGGAATGAAAAATTAAAAGAATTGAAGCTGAAAAAACAAAAAAATACAAAAACAGAACATTGAAAAGTCGAAAAATTGTAAAAATAAAGAAAATGAAAAATTAACTAATACAAAATGGAAAAATTTAAAATTGAAAACTTGTGAAATTGCAATCGAAAAATTGTAAAAATAAAAAAACAAAGAACGAAATCCAAAAATTGCAAATAGAACATTTGAAAAAATTAAAAATACAAAAATCGAAAAATTGAAAAATTAAAAACTGATTAACTCCAGAAATTTTAAATGGAAAAATTGAAAAATCTTACATCGCAAAATTGAAGAGACAAAACGAAAAAACAAAATAAATAGAAAACTCGAGAAACTGAAATCGAAAAATTGCAAAATCTAAAAATTGAGAAATTAAAAAGTTGGAAAACTGAAAAATTTAAATTTGAAAACTCGAAAAATTGTAAAAAAAATATATTTCAGAGAAAAAAAAGGACCATTTTAACAATGTTTTAAATTTCTTGTTGTGGAAAGAGGGCTATGTATATTAAGAAAAAAAAAGGCAAAATATAATAAAAGTAATCAGAGCAATAAAAACACGATCAACGACAGCCATGGATTTTTGAAAGTTTGTCTTTTATCGCTGCATTTTCAACTCAAACTTTTTAATTGACGGTAATTTAACAAGATGAAAATTCTATCAAAGACAAATCGCCAAAAATCCATGGCTGAATTTGATCGTGTTTTTATTGCTCCCTCGATACGAAAAAACTGTATTAATTTTCTAGTTTTTTTCTGTGGTCCTTACTTATTGTTTCCATAAGGACGTTGTTAGGCTGAAAATAAAGCATTGCTCTTATCATAATTATTATTGTTTAAAAAAATCTGGAAATTTACTGTGTTAGAAATCGTAATTTGGGACTTCAGTTACATATATTAAAAAATGTGTTCATAAAATTGGGAAAAATTCTTCCTAAAGATCACTTTAGAATTCATTTTTTTAAATTTTTTATTAAGTGATGAAAATTATTGTTGGCTTGAAAGCGTGCTAATGAAATTTCGGTACTTCATTTTGGTTCACCCTGTATATAGACAACGCCGTGTAACTGCCAAAGACGAAAAACGAACTCACTTTTATTCGTTCATTTGTTTATAATATTAATACGAAAAAATGAAAATTTGACAAACTTTTAAAGTTAGAAATCCAAAATACTACAAAGCCTGTCCGAGCAAATTAAAAAGGTCGAGAGCCAACAGATTAATAAGTAACTAAAAATAAAATGTTCCCGCACCCGTCACTCGTGTGTAGGAACATGTGTCAGAGAATACCAGAGAAGTGACAGTTTGAAATTTCGACGAAATGACTCTTAATCAAAACTGACTAACCGTCTCCACCGCCGCTTGCATTGCAACAAGAAGCAAAATAAGGCATGTCGACGTCTGAAGCAATTAAAAGCATACATTAACGAAAACATGTAGATTCTCTGTTTTAGTTGCCAAGTAACACTTTGTTGTATGTATGCTCTCTGATATTGTCACTTCTCTAGAATTCTTTGACCTGTATGTAAACATTCAAAACTGGGTACTTATTAACCAGAATTTAATGTTTAACAGTAAGCTACTCGGAAAAGAGATCCCCAAACTAAGGTATGTGATTGCCCCAGTAGTGACAAAAATGAGCGCTTTTTCCCTTTCGTACTCGCACGATTTTCGAGTTTCTAATTTCGTGTTATTTTTTTAGCCTCGCCCGCCGCCCCATCTACCCCGGCCGCCGCTCCAGCCGCAACAAGTCCAGCTTGAGCTACCACCAGAAGCAGAACGGCTCCGACGAAGGCGACACCTCAGAATACTCAGTTTCACCGTCCAGCAAGAGCTCCACGCTCGAATCCAACCCCGACCGGACGAAAGTTCCCCAGTCCCTCAAGAGGCCCAACGAGAAATCTAATTCGTCCGACAGCGAATCGGACCAGAACGTAACGATCGTTACTCAAGTATCCTACAGTTTAAACAAGTCTGAGAGTGTAGTCTGAATTGTGATTATTTTTGTATTTGATAGGTATCCACTTGTGTATTTTTTACCTGAATGTTATGGAACCGTGCAATTTTTATTTGTTGTTTCGTACGGGTGTGTGTTGACCGCGTCAACTTTGCCGTCTATTTTTAATTAGTCTTAAATTAATTTATAGAGGAGGAATCGTCGGGCGGACTTGGATCCCTAACCGAGTCTGAGTTATGGATTGTATAGTTCGAGACACTAACAACGCACCGTTTCACTTTTTCGTACTTCGTGGTGTTGGTTCGGGGACTTATTTCAACACTAACGCATTAACACTTCCATAACATAGGCGGAACGCGCGACCGATTTTCGGATCCTGCAGACAATCAGACAAATTTAATTTCTAGTAGTGCGATCAGAATTCATCCGAGATCAGTTTATCTAGAAGTCAGATTGTCTGCAGGATCAGATTCTCGGACGCAGACAATCTGTCACTGCAGTTGCCTTTACTAGAAATCAGTAAGAACAGATTATCTGGCGGCGCGTTCCCACGTTAGGACTCTTAGAACTTAGCAGTATTGACTGTAGCTGAAAAGGAACAGTATTTTGGTAAAATTCGAAACTAACCTTCTTCTTAACGTTAAAAACTACTGCATGATGCACTCTACCTTCTGCACTTATCTAGAAGTAGTATTCTGTAATACTCATGTATAGTGACAACTTTTTTATTTGTATTTATTTGCTCAGCTAAGACATGTACAACCTAAATTTGTGTAAGTTCTACGACTTGTAGAAACCTAGATAAGTATTTTTCTAGTTAGGACTTGACTTTCGAGCCGTGCGAGCTTATTGGTGGGAAACTCAGGTGCGATGACTATTTTTGAAGTTCACGTTCGTACCACTAGGCAAGTTAGATGAAATTGTCAACTTTTTTCCGTTGTAAATTCGACTATAGGAATATAATACAGTTGCATATTGTACTTGAATTTTAACTAAGTGCTTGCGACGTTTCTTTATAAACGATACCCATAGTACAATATCGCATTTAAGGACTTCACTTGATACTGAAATATTTGTATAGTGAACTCTATTTTGTAGGACTTTTAGTGTAAATGGGAGAGATATTTATTGAAACTTTATGGAGTTCTACTGTAACCTTACTGTCATTTTGGTTGTTGAGGTGTCAAATTCCGCATCGAAATTGTTTTAATCCGGCCACTGTTTACTCTTTATCGTTGTGTTAATTGTGGCAGCATTGTATGGCAACTAGTATTAGTTTAATTTATTGTTGTGAAGACGGCCGTCGTGGTCTCGGTCGTCCTGTCTACTTACATCCGTTATCTTGTCCGTTATGACTTTCTTGATTTATTTATCGTATAACCGAATGTGATATGAAATCATTCCTAATTACTTATTTACTTAATAACTTTCTTAATTCAGGACTTTCGCCGATCAAAAGTTATTGTGATACGATGTCTAGTTTTTAGTTTTTTTTTATTTTTGTGCAAAATTTGTCCTTCCAACTGCCAAGGAATGCCTATTTTGACTTTATTTTGTAACGTTTTTATTTGTTTAATTGATGATGTGTAAGTTGTTAATTGAATAGAAGTGTCGATAATTGAGCCGACTTTCATTTTTACCCCCTGAAAAAATAAAAGCGAGCTTTGGTTCGCCGTAAATGGCTGCAAGCTCAAACTTGTGCGGAATCTGTTTATTTTATTTTCTGTAATTTGTAACAAAATTCCTTGCACAGAATCGGATTTATCTTTAACATCTGGCGTTGCATGTTATTATCTAGTAATTCCCTACGAGTGCTTGATTGCCGGCATTCTTGTACGCAATTCTGCATTGTTCGAATTTTTGTTTTATGATTTATTGATGCGAATGCGTGTATTTAGTGGGATATTTCAACTTTATGGCATTTTATTCTGTCGCCAGTTCACTAATTACGAATCAGATTTTTTTTGCGAACAGCTGGTCGTGTTTTCGTCATCATTTTTAAATGAAGCGATTATGTAGCTTCAGAAATTTCACAAGAGACCTGAATCTATTTTTCCCGTTTTTATAAATGACGGTTTCTGAAGTGTTTATCTGTTTGTATTTTTTTTTTTAAATCGGACATTTTAAAATTGGTAGTTTTGAAATATTAGACAATTTAAAGTTCGGCAAAAATATCAAATATCCACCATTTGGAAAATTTCCGATAATAAATACGTAACGGGAACTAGAATAAGTTAGGTTTTGACCAGTGGCGTATCATTTGTGTTCTAAACTAGAGACAGTCTATAAAATTTGTTGTCGTATGTATATTTTTCAAAATTAGATTCAGTTATTATACTTGACGAATTGGAAAAAGTGTAATAAACATCAGTAATGTTTAATTTTTTTTTGTTCCTTCCTCTTTTTTTCTTCCGTTCTGCCATTCCCTTTGTCTTTCTTTTTATTTTAAGTTCATTTCTCATTCCTGTTTTTTCCTCTGTCGTCCTATCTGGTTTTTTATGTCGTCCCTTCTCTTTCTTCTGTTTTTTTTTACTTTTTGTTTTCTTTCCGTCCCTTTTCTGTCGTCCTTTTTGTCTTCCTTTCTCTCTTTATCTCTCTGTCGTTCTCGTTTCCTCTGTCTCCCCTCTTTGTTTTCTTCCCTATTTATACTTCTGTATTTTTTTCATTCTGCCACTCTGTTTTTATCTCCATCTTTTTGTCTTCTTTGTCTCTCTTTGCGTTCCTCTGTCTACGTCTCCCTTCTTTCCGCCATCTTTTCTGTTTTTCTCTCTGCCTTCCTTTGTGTATTCCGTTCTTCCCTATTTCCTGCATTCCTTTTTATTGTCTTTTCTGCCTTCCTTTCTTTATTTTGTTGTTTGCTTTTCTGTTTTCTTTTCTCACTCTCTTCCTATCTGTTTTCATGCTTACTGTCCCCCGCTCTGTGTTCCTCCCTACTTGCCCTCCTGCTTTTTTGTCTTTCTTTCTTTTTTCTGTCTCTTTTTCTGTTTTTCTGTCTTCTTTTCCGTCTCCTTCTTTGTCGTTTCTTTTTCTGTGTTTTTCTCTTTTTGTCCCCCATTGTTTCTCTGTCTCCGTGGCACTCTGTTTTTTGTGTCTTTCTTATTTTACACCTCCTTCTCTATCGTATTCTCTGTCCTTCCTTTTGTCTTCTTCAGTGTTTCCTTCAGTGCGTCCCATTCTATCTTCCTTTTTGGCTACCATTTTGCTTTTCTTTTTAACTATTTATCTGCTTTATTCCTTTTTGTCGTCTTTCTTTCTATCTTCCTTTCTATCTTCCGTTCTTCCCTTATTCCTACCTTCCTTTCTATCGTCTTTTCTGTCGTCTTTTCTGTCTTTCCCCCTGTCGTCTCCTCTATCGCACTCTGTCTGCCTTTCTACTTTTCGGATTTTCTCTCTCTTTTTGTCAACCGTCTCTCTTTCTTACCTACTTTCCCTTTCCTTTTCTGTCGTCTTCTATGTCGTTTTCTTTATCTCCTTTTGTATTTCTGTCGTCTCCTTTGTCTCCCTCTCTGTCTTTGTTGTCGTCTTTTCTATCGTTCTCTTCGTCTCTTTCTGTATTTCTTTGCCTGCGTCTCACTTTGACTTCGTCTCTGACTTTCATTCTGCCTTATTTTCTGCCTATCCCTGTGCCTTCCTTTTGTCTTTCTTGTATCTTCCATTCCTCCCTCATTCCTGTCTTTCCCTCTGTCGTCCTATCTGTTTATTTTTGTATGCTTTTCCGTCTTACTTTCTCTCTCTCTCTCTCTTCAATCTTTTCAGACTTCTTATTTGTATCTCCCTCTCTGTCTTCCTTTCTGTCTTTTTACCTTTTTTTCTTTCTGTTGTCTTCCTCTTTGCCTTCCTTTGTCTTCCTCTCTCTACGTCTCATTTTATCCTCTTTTCTGTCTTTTTCGGTTCTTCCCTCATTCCTGTCTTTCTTTCTGTCTTTCTCTCTGTCGTTTGCTCTATCTCCCTCTCTGTGTTCTTTTGTCTTCTTTTTGACTCCCTTCGTCTTTCTCTATTTTCCTTTCTGTCTTTTTGTTCGTTAGATTCGCGCTTTTTCTTCCACTCTGTTTTTATCTCCATCTTCTTTTTTATACCCCAGTGTTTTTCTTTCTCTCTGTCGCCTCCTCTGCTTACCTTTCTGTCTTGCTTTGTGTGTTGTGGTGTCTTCTTTCCTGTTTTCCTCTCTCTCTCGCTCTCCATTACTTTCTGCCTTGTTGACTCTTTCCCTGTCTTTTTCTCTGTTTACTTTTGTATCATTCTTCTTTTTTTCTATCTGTTTTTCTTTATGTGTTTCTGTCTTTAGTTCTGTTTTTTTTTCTGTCTTTCTGCCGTATTTTCCACCTCCTTCTCTATCGTATTCTCTGAGTCTTGTCTCTTGTCTTCTTCAGTGTTTCTCTGTCTGCGTCCCATTCTATCTTCCTTTTTGGCTACCATTTTGCTTTCCTTTTTAACTATTTATCTGCCTTATTGCTTTTTGTCGTCTTCCTTTCTATCGTCTTTTCTGTCTTTCCCCTTGTCGTCTCCTCTGCCTCCCTCTAACTTCCTTTCTGTCTTCCTCGCTGTCTGTCTTTTTGCCTTTCTACCTCTTTGACTTTCTCTCTTTCTTTTTGTCAATCGTCTCTCTTTCTTATTGTCCCTCTCATTGTTGTCGTCTTTTCTATCTTTCTCTTCGTCTCCCTCTGTATTTCTCGGCCTGCGTCTCACTCTGACTTCCTCTCTGACTATTATTCTGCCTTATTTTCTGCATATCTCTGTGCCTTCCTCTTTGTCCTTCTTTTTATCTTCCATTCTTCGCTCATTCCTGTCTTTCCCTCTGTCGTCCTATCTGGGTTTTTTATGTCTGATTTTCCGTCTTTCTTTCTCTCTCTCCTCTTTCTTCTCAGTCTTCTGCTTTGTTGTTTCCCTCTCTCTTTTCCTTTCTGTCTTTTTACATTTGTATTTTCTTTTCGTCCTTTTTCTGTCGTCTTCGTCTTTGCCTCCCTTTGTCTTCCTCTTATTTTCTGTGTTGTTCGGTTCTTTCCTCATTCCTGTCTTTCTTGACTTTCCTTTCTGTCTTTTTGCCTGTTGTCTCCTTCTTTATCTTTTTCCATGTTGGTTTTTCTGTACTTTTTCCTTTCTGATTTCTGTTTTTATCGTATCTTTTTGTTTTCTTTGTCTCCCCTCGCGTTACTCTGTCTACGTCCCCCTTTATTTTCTTTCTGCCCTCTTTTCTACCTTAATCACTGCCTTCCTTTCCGCATCCCATTCTTCCCTAATTCCTGCCTTCCTTCCTAATGTCTTTTCTTTATTCCTTTCTGTGTTCTGTTGTTTTCTTTACTGTTTTTCTTTCTCGCTGTCTCCCGTTCTTTTTTCATGATTACTGCCTACTGCTCTGTGTTCCTCTCTATTTGCCTTTCTGCTTTTTTGCCTTTCTGTCTTTCTGTTTATGTTTTCTGTCTCTTTTTCTGTTTTTCTGTCTTCTTTTCCGTCTCCTTCTTTGTCGTCTTTTTTGTTTTTGTCTTTGAATCCCCCAATGATTCTGTCTTCACCACACTCTATCTTCCTTCCTTGGTTATCATTCTGACTTCCTTTTTACCTATCTATCTGCCTTTCTTTCTTTATTTCGTTCTTCCCTCATTCTTGTCTTTCTTTCTATCGATTTTCTGCCTTCCTTAGTGTCTTTCTATTTGTCGTCTCTTCTGCTTACTTTTCTGTCTCACTTTGTGTGTCCATTCTTGTTTTTGTTTCTATTTCCCTTATTTTCTTTTCTCTCTCCCTCTTCCTTTATGCCTTGTTGACTCTCGTTCTGCCTTTTTCTCTGTCTACCTTTCTTCTTTTCTGTCTCTTTTGCTTTCTACATATATGTGTTTCTGCCTTTCTGTCGCTGTTTCCCTCTTTCTTTTTGCTTTTTTCTGTTTTTTTCTATCTTTCTGTCTTCTTCTCTATCGTGTTCTCTGTCTTTCTTTTTGTCTTTCTCAGTGACTTCCTACTTTTCTGACTTTCTCTCTTTCTTTTTGTTAATCGTCTCTCTTTCTTACCTACTTTTCCCCTCCTTTTCTACCGTCTTCACTGTCTTTCTGTTGCTCTCCTTCTGTGTTTCTCTGTCTGCGTCCGATTCTATTTTCCTTTCTGGCTACAATTCTGTTCCTTCTAGCTTTCTATCTGCCTTCTCTTTAGTTTTCATTTCTTTTTTTCGTTTTTCTCTAATTTTTATCCTTCTTTCGATCGTCTTTTCTGTCTTTCCCCCTATTGTCTCCTCTATCTCCTTCTTTGCCTTCCTCCCTGTCTGTCATTCTGACTTTCAACATTTCCGGCTTTCTTTATGTCAATCGTCTCTCTTTCTTTCCTATTGTCACTCTTCTTGTTGTCGTCTTCTCCCTCTTTCTCTTTGTCTCCCTATGTATTGCTCTCTGTGTGACATATTCTATCCCCCTTTCTAGCTACTATTCTGCCTTCCTCTTCACTTGTTCGCTTTTATTTTTTTCTAACGTCTGTTTTCTTTTCTCTCTTCCTTTATTCTTGGTGTTTGTCCTTCTGCATTTCTGCCTTTCTGTCTTTCTGTGTTTTTTGTTTTTTTCTGGTTTCCTGTCTTTCTTTTGTTCTGCCTTTCTTCCTGACCTATTTTTCGTCTCCTTGACTATCGTCTTCTCTGCCTTCCT